CATGGGAATATTTTGGCAGAATCGGATTCATCGTACCGAAATTAGCGGGAGTTGGTAGTTTTTATACATTAGAGAAAAAAACATGAGCATCACAAAATGTCGCTCAAGAAATTAATTGTCATATAGAATATACCATTATCATTCAAATAACATTGTTATTCAATACTTTTGTTTTGACTTTCACGTTTGAATTCATGCAATGACGAACAACAAACGGCTTCTAGGAAAATACTGAGCAGCGATAAGTATTTGGTTCGTTTCTTGCAAAGAATTAACATTATCTTTTAACTTTCTCTTCAAGATGTTTTCAATAAATCATGCCACTTTTTATTTTTAAATGCAATGATACCTTAATTTTTACATGTCTGACATGGGGCATATGAATCGAAGTAAACAAATTTCCTATCACCACGATGGTAACGTTTAAAAAACACATACGTATGCTTGCGCAATGTGAATGCGAATATGAATTTACATCACAAATAAAAGTGAAAAATAAGCCGATTGTAATTACAGCTTATTATTATTATTTATACGTTATTTGTTTAATGTGTGATTTTGATGCGGGTATTAATAGGTTGGTTAAACACAGCAAGTGATCATTCGATGCTTACGTTCTTTCGCGAATTTTACGTTTAAATTGCCAATTTCATTACAAGAATAGTGCTCTCGTGTTATTTGTTACAATTCAATAAAATCCATCATTATTTTTCCGTTCAAAAACTCGTTCAGTGGTAAAAACAAATAACAAACATGAAGAATGTAAGCAAATTAAAACCGATGGGATTAAAAAACGGATTAAGTTTCCATGAACTTTATTTATTTTGGTTGCACTATATTAGTTGAATCAGAAAAAAGAATTTAATGACGTGAAACTTTGCACAGACTATTTTTTACACAAAATAAAGAGTCTTACAGGAGTAAGACGAACTTTTCCGCACGGTGGTAGATGCGTATTCTATTAAGCTAGTTCAAAATAATATTTGTTCGATTTTTCAAGCCTTTCAAGACATGGCTCCCATACAAAAATCCAAATTTTTTGTGACTTTAGTTA